TTTTCTTTTTTTTTTTCCGTATCGAGATAATCCATATAGGCCTATATCCTTCTTGGCCTACCACTTTTACCATGCGACTGGGGATTTAATATATATTTTTTGTAATTATTAAAGCTGTGCAATGTCGGATTAGTTGCAACTTTGATTAACGACACGAATTTGAAAGAAATACAGGGTATGGAGTATCTGTGATAGGAAATAGGTTTATCTCAGGTAACAGCAATCTGATTTAATCTTATGCTGGAATTTATTGACAATCGAACATATTGATTTACTGAGTTGAGGTGCTATTCATTCTCTATGCGCTTAAAAGATACTTCACTTTTCTTCTCCCTGCTAGCGCATTCACTCTCGTTTGTCTTTCCGCAGATGCTTGCTTATTCGAGAGGCACTAATCTTTTTGAACAGACTTGTGTCCCATCCTGATTACTCAGTACCTGTTTTGCAAGCATTGACAGACACGAGGGAGCTCGCGAGCACTACAGTGGACATTGCCAACATTTTGACTCATAATAGCAATATGTTATGGAAGGACATTAACTCGAAAAAGCATGTAAGGGAATCCGAAATCACGGACTTGGCCCGGGTGTTCAAAAAGAGAGTGTTTACGTTTCTTGGAGACAGCATATCATGAGAGCATGATTTTTTATGGCATGAAGTGCTCTCCTTCGTCTCTCCCACACGCAGTTTCCTCGTATTGAGTATGTTAGAAGTGATTGCTGTTTGGTTTTTTGTAGATATTTGATAATATGACACATGAAAAAACATTCATCCATCCCGGTTAGTTTCACATCTGAGGTTTTGTAACGACTTCTGTAGTAAAAGTGTAAAACTATGACCTGCTCCTCAACCCAATGCAATTCTTTTAGGGTGTGATTGGTTGGGGTGATAAGGAGGGATATCACACAGTTTCTTAAGCATTAACAACTTTTATATTGTTTGGTTGAACATGGCATGGCCCGCTCAGATTATCCTTCAATTTGTTTATAACGCATCCGGCCAAATTGGTGGGATATAGTATATGAAATTACTCAACAATTAACTTCCTAGAATGTCCCGAATTTTTCGTAAAATCCCCAACGCTTCCTTTTATTTTTTATTTTTTCAACGAAACCAACAAGCGGTGGGCCCGCCGTAGTGTTGTTGGCCGTGGATTTCTGAATTCGGTCTGCGATTTCATAGACTTGGCGACTGAGACGCCACAGGCTAAGATGGCGGGCTCGCCGCGAATTTGGTGGCTACTGTTACACAATGTGTGTTCTGAATTACAACGGGACCTATGAACTGACTGAAATGTTCAGTT